TTTTACGATGGCAAATGCATCAAAATAAAGGTGCAACATGCATCACAAAGCAGAGGTTGAGTTTATGAAGCATGCTGTTTACAACATGAGCCATCATGTACCAAAGGCCTTTTCAGGGTCATTCAGGACAGAAAATGCGCTCACTTTGAGGTGGGTATGCTAAACGAAACATGCAAGAAGCAGAAATATCCAATATTCATGTATTCACTTAAGTTTGGTCCTGATCCAATGCAACTGGCCAGGCCACTGAAAAAAACAGATTGCATTTGCACTTTGGTGTTGCTAATCATGCATGTCTATAATAACCTCACGCTGTTCGTTATCTGAATGCATATGCTTCCATTCTTGCTTTCAGTAGCTGTTTTGTGGAAAAAGCAAACTATCAAATGCACCAAAATAAAGGTGCAAAAAGCATCACAAAGGAGAAGTTGACTTTATGATGCATGCAGTTTACAACATACGTCATTCAGGACAGAAAATGGGCTCACTTTGTGGTGAGCATGCTAAACGAAACATACAAGAAGCAGAAAGATCCAATTCCAACCAGACTGCATTTGCACTTTGGTGCTGCTAATCATGCATGTCTATAATGACCTCATGCTGTTTGTTATCTAAATGCATATGCCTTCATTCTTGCTTTCTGCATTAGTTGGGCCACAGAACAGCAGAATATGAACGCATGCGCAAAGTCTCTTGTTTTGTGCGTTTTCTTCCTGTAGAAAAACATAAACACTTAAAATGGCGTAATGTATTAAAATACATTAAGTGCAATTAAAAGATCAAATTCGAAATATAGTTATTATTTAATGTACTACAAGGCAAGCAGATGGCCATGAACACAATGCGCAAACTTTCACTTGTCCTCCCATACAGCAAAACGCTTAATGTGGCATAATAACGGATGATAAAGACAATTCAGTAGCCTATATGTCTTGTTGTTGACTCAAAGTATATACAGAACAGCAGAATATGAACGCATGCGCAAAGTCTCTTTTTTTGTGCGTTTTCTTCCTGTAGAAAAACATAAACACTTAATATGGCTTAATGTATTAAGATAGATTAAGTGCAATTAAATGATCAAATTCGATATATAGTTATTATTTAATGTACTACAAGGCAAGCAGATGGCCATGAACACAATGCGCAAA